TTATGTTACGTATTATAAATTTAAAAAAAAATTGTTCTGAACACTTACTTTGTATGTGTAAATTGCTACCGTTAAAAATATTCTATTGTGTGTTAATATTTTCGATATTATATTTTTAAATTTAAATTGCTATAACTTTTTAAAAAATGTATGGACTTTTTCTAAATACTTTATATTTACTCCATTCTTTCGACATACTTTTTCCGGATTACTTTAAAAAAATCGGACCATTTCTCTTTATACAGGGGGCGTCCAAAACTTATACATATGTATAAAAATAATATAATATAAAATATAGATAATTTTAATCACTGTCAGATATCAATAAATACTAATCTAAAAATACCTCATCTCCATCTCGCTGGATTTCTATGTAATTTAATTACTAATTTGTAATATTTTTTTCATAATGGCTATGGTAAGTAATGTGCAAGGAATGTTAATCGGAGATGTGGGTTTGTGAGAATAACTTAATTTTAGCACTTCCCATATATTCACTCTAGTAGCATCCATGTGTATGATATAGTATGTATAGTTGATTATTAATCATAATTTTGGAAAAAGTTATTTAATTTGGTAATTCTAAAGTGGAATAAGTATGTCTTAAGTTATACTACTGTTACGTTTTTAAAAAGCTTAATTAATTAAATTATAGATCAAGGCATACATTTTTCTCTATGAAATGATTTTATCTATTTCATTAATCATATTTATTATTGAAGTTATTGATTCATAAATATTAAATTTTAAATAACTTGATATTATTTTGTTGAGTGCAGTTTTAAGATGGTCGACGTGCAAGTATATTATATGATACTTAATACATTAGTGTTATAATAAAGTTGGACCTACTTCATAATACATCACAAGTTTTCAATTATGTAAAAAATACTTTCATTTTTGTATAATAATAAAATTTTATTAGAAAATGATTATATCAAGTTATTTATCATAAAGACTTAGTGTGTTTGGATACTCCAATTACATCCAAGTGGCCTCCTCATCAATTATATTTATGACTGTGCAAGGGGACCATATAGCTGGTTGCTTTTAATCTGTTAGACCATTTTTCATCAATGTCTCCTAATTATAACGGAACAATTGGCTACTGGATTTCTGTCTGTTTCTTGTTGACAGATAACAGCTACCCGCTGGTCATTAGTAAACATTAAACCAAGTACGCTCGCACCTTTGTTTTAATAAAAACATCTTTTTGGTCAGAGCACGATTGATGATACTATGAAAGTCATATTTCATTCGGTAACATCTAGCGATCATGAAATATTAGATTTTAGATTTGAAAAAAATCTTAACAATGCTGATTAGACAGATTCGTGTTTTTTAAATAAGACTACTTATGTTTTGATATTAACTATATTTTTACGATTGAATAATTTAATTCACTTATTTATTTATAAAATTACGCCCAAAAGAGTAAGGAGTATAATATTTACAATTATAAGATTACTAAGATCGTATACCTTAATTAGTAGTGAGAGATTATATAATAAAGTTAAACTATGGTTTTATGATAATGTCAAAGTAAAGTTAAATTTTAAAAATGTATTAAATATAAGTTCTGTGTAATGTACAATATGTCTGACCTTTATAACAGTTGGTAAGTAGGTATATCCAAGTGAGACGGAGTTGTTAGGATATGATGAAAATTGGTGATAGACGAGTCGTTTTTTATAATAAGTTAAGTAATTGACTAAAAGTATATAATAAAAGTGATAATATCGATAAATATATCTATAATGGAGCTCAAATATAACTGCTCTTTATGAGTTCGACATCAGTAGTTCGGGGACACAGACGAGCACAATTGTCATATTAGCATCTCCATCTATGCTAATTAATATGAATTAAGAATTAAGTAAATGAAATTACTACGTGTATAATATAAGTGATAAGAACATAGTAATAAATGATTTTACTGAGTGTGCAATGACATCGGTGTAATATGTGTATTTTACTACTTATTTAAACGTAGTAATAGGTTTTGGGTTCGTCCTTTTAAAAGGAAGAAAACCAAGTAAAAGGTGGTTCGATGTATGAACTGAGGTGATAAGCGGAATGACGCTTTAGCTACTTACTTGTTACACTGTCAACAACACTTCGGCGAATACACTTATGTGAAAAAAACAAATTAATATAATCATTTATAACGAAATTTAAGTCATGTTCTTCCCCTGGTAAACATTACTACCTCTGCTTTGTTTGCACTAACAACTAGGCTTAACTAACTACTCACTACACCACATGTGTATAGTATTTAGTCTCTGCTGTGCTATGTCTATAATTGTGTCTGGAATATTGCTTACCACTACTATAGCTAAGTTATTTACATAGCCTTGTGTATAACTATTTTTGTTTAACTCTTTAATAAGTGAGTCTAAAACTAGACACCATAGCAAGGGAGATAAAATCCTTCTTTGTGGATATCCCTGTTTAATACTCTTAATTACTTTGGTTTTCATTTAGCTGTCCAAAAATAGAGCGTTCTTTAAGCATGGATTCTACTCATTTAATAATGAGTGGTTCCATTTCATACTGTTGTGCAGATTCATACATATCATCAAAGGGTATATTATCAAAAGCCCCTTCAATGTCCAGGAATATGCCTATTGCATACATTTTATTCTCTATAGCATTCCTCACTTTAGTGGTTATGAAACTTGAGGATATTAATTTCCTCGTTAGCTGCCATTCAGCATGGGTCACACGTTTACCCCATAATTTGTGTAGATATTTTTTTTATAAATATTTGAGCCACGAAATTGTATGTTCAACAAATGTGATAGTGTCTCGCTATCATCGTTAGTTAACGTATCGTCCGGCAATAATATTGCTTTGACGCTTTTGTTCGATCCATTTCCTAATGATTGTAGAAGTTTAGTAACTGGATGTATTTTTAATTTACCATAGAATTTTTTTAGCTCTCTCTTTTGGAATTTTTCAATAGAGAATTGTATTGTATTTGAAATCTGCAATTTCATTGCTTTGTTTAAAAGTTTACGAGAACTCTTTCTTAATTTTGACAAGCTGTGTTCCATCAAACTACACCTTGTCCTATATATTTTTTTTCTAACAAGGTAGCTTTTCTTGTATTCCGAAACGATGCAAATTCAAAGGTCAATTACGGCCCTTTGACCAAACCATTAGATCAATGACTATTTTTCATTTTCTTGATTATAATAGTAAGTTTGTTACCTCTATTCAGTATACTTAGATCTGTGGTTAAAATTAGCTCCATTAGTGCCTCAACTCTTTAGTCGATGTTACTGCTCCCCAATATAGTGTGGTAGGCGTTTCTATCCATACCAAGGATGAGTTAAAACTTTTCTTTATTATAATTATTAATTAGTCATAGTGGGTACCTGCCTGGATCTGAGAATTCATATGGCAGGTATATGAATTTACTATAATATTTATAACATTACAATAATAGTTGTCAGGTCTGAGCTTAACAAATTAAGTAACAAGTGGGTTTTTACTTAACCATTAACCAAAATATCTTGTATTTTGGTCTAAATTATTTTTTCTTAATAGCTTAAAAGTTGAAAAATTAAATCAGCTTATGTTCACATCATTATTTTATTAGCTTCAATGCGAAGTTGAGAAGGTATTTGTTTTACTATGATGTGTTTTTTATTTTTGTGTCTGTTACCACTTTTTCTCAGTCTCACCGAACCGATTTCTTTCAATGATACGTCAAAAGATCACAAATCGTATCTAGTCGAAGACCTAACCCTCAAAAATTGAAAAAATTTCCTTCGTTCCCCATCAACGTGGGAAACCCCCCAAAAAATTATAAATTTAAAAATCGCTAGTTTTCGAAATTTTTTCAATTTTTTTTACTAAAAACTGCCGTAACTTTTTTAAAAATAAAACATATCAATATAATTCTTTTTTTATAGATGCATGATGTCATTACCTATCATTTGGTATATTTTTTTTATAAATCTGACTTTTTACCTGCTAACAGGGGGGGATTTAAAATGACAAATTTTTCACAAAAAATTGCACTTTTTCAACTTAAATTTTGAAAGTGTTCCGGAAGGTCTGACACTTTTATATATATCTTAAATTAAAGCTAATGTAATATACTTTATTATGAAAAAAAAAAATTTCGGACTTTGTTTTATCTTCATGGTAAAAACAGACATTAAACTTAATAAAAAAAATACCACTCTGTGCTGGGTTTTTTAAACCTATACCAGATTAAAGTTCTTGTAGTGTAACTATTTTATATAGATGCATGATATCGTTACTTTTCATTTGATATATTTTTTTTATAAATCTGACCCTTTACCTGCCCACAGGAGTGATTTAAAATAACAACTTTTTTACAAAAAATTAACTTTTTCCACTTAAATTTTTAAAATGTTCCGGAAAGTCTGACATTTTTTTATATATCTTAAATTAAAGATCAAATAATATAATTTATTATGAAAAAAAAAAAATTTCGGACTTTAGATTGTCTTCACGGTAAAAATGGCTACCAAGTGCTATTTTTGTGTGAAAATTCTCGATTTTGTACTTTACATTTTTAACTTTATAATGCTATAACTTTTTGAAAAATGTATGAATCAGCACAATTTATTTATGAGAAATAATTATTTTTATTAATCCCTTTTTCATACTTTATCTTAATCAGGATATTAATAAGGAAATAGCAGATCATGTAACTTTTGGAATAATCCACCAATTTTTTAAAAATAAACATAAATTTTGAACTTGTAAGATTCATAGAATGGGATACTGTCTAAGGCGGATTGGAGGGACCCCCCCAAGCTTTTTATGGGAAACAAATTATGGAAAATGATACAAGGGCCCAAAAATTGTTGGCCCCTCCAATAAACATTTTCTGGCTACGTGCCTGTATCCCCTTGAGATGCCTAATCGGGGTTGAAAATTCGCTCAAAAGAGTAATTTTCAGTTTTTAATCATTATTTCTAAACTAACAAACTTGTTGTAAAAATGTATTGTGTATTAATTATATATTTATTATATTATACATATACGATATAATTATATATCAAATTTAATTATTTAAAATAAAATAAAATGCAAGATTTACATTATTGATGATTAATTATTTTATTGAAACCTAGAAAATAGTATTCACTCGTAATAGTAACATTATGAAACATTATAAATTGATCCAAAGCAATTTGATACAAAACAATTGGATTTACGAAAGTATTGTTAGAATTCATTGAAGAAAGTATAATTTCCCAAGAATTTATTAATGTACTTTCATCTAAAACATCACCTTCAAGCAAGCAACGTTTCATGAAATAATTGTGTTTGTCCCTAAGAACATCATTAAATTTCCTTCGTGCATATTCAAAATCGAATAAGAATGTATTGGCTCTTACTTTTACATCATTATCAGATAGATTGACAAAATCATTTTTTGTTAAATTAAGCTGATCAATTTTAGGAAAAAAATTATTTAATAAATTATAAATTTGAATTAAACATGCATCTGAATGATACATAATTTCCCAAATAAATGCAGATTTTAATTTATCTAAAGCTAACAACATATATTTAAACATTTCTTTTGAATTTTTAACCGCGTCCAAAAATTAAATAATACAATCTTTATAGTTATTTAAATTTGCATTACGTTTTTCACGTTTGCACGTTTGAATTACAGCAGACATATATGTATTATAATTTCTTAATACTTCAGTATATCTACACCTTAACAGCTGTGTAAAGTATTTTTTTTTTAAATTAAAATTAAAGTCATCCACAGTGTCTCTAATTATTCGATTAGTAGTTATTAATTCATCATCAATTATTATTCTTATATGATTCAATAGATTCCAATTTCCTTCACGAAACAAAATATTTAGATTTTTAATTATTTTATATTGAGGAAAACCAATGTTTTGAGGGGGTGAGAGCCTAAAATAAAACAATAATTATTATTTAGAATCCAAAAAATAGTATCATAAAAAAATGAATAAGTAATATATTATATTTTATTGACATGGTTCAACAAAAATTGTTTTTTCTTATATAAAAGTTTACTTTTATAATAGACTTTTTATTCCAACCGTTATTTGTATAAGCTAATCTGAATCTTTAAATTACTTAAAAAAACTCATATCATAGAAATTAGTTTGCCATAATATGATTTTTATTGGAAAATGACAATATTTTTATAAAACTTACTCAGGTGTATTAGGGTTAAGTAACTGATGGAACCCAATTTTTGAATAATAATTGTTAATGGTTTTTTTACAGTAATCATTTAAATTTTTATTGATAAAATCAATAAAATTTATGTCATACTTATTATTTGTGTATTCATAATAGTAATTTTCTCGTAAATTAAACATCATTGTATTATTTATAATACTAACATTGTTTTTAAAAAAATCATGTGTTATTGATACTACTTTATTCGCGAAATTCATTATTTTATAGTAGTCTTCTTTAGCTTCTTCTATTTTAATGCTTCCTTCATTATTTACATAATTATGCATATCTGATACTTCCATTAAAAATGTATAGTGTTTAACTGTATAAATTTCTTCTACTACCAGTTTTGGATGAATAAATGTTTTTTTCAATGCTGATTTTACATCTAAATAATCAATAAATGTTATAGATTTGTATAAATATTCAAACATCATATTTGAATTTTTAGCTGCATTTAAAAGTATTACTGTACAGTAGATTGCATTTTCAAATGAATTTATTTCAAAAAAACATTTACAATCATCTAAAATGATTTTTAAGTGTTCAGTAAATATTTGTAGAACTTCAACAAATAAATAGTTAATTAAATCAACTATAATATAATATGTTTGTGATAATTCATTTAGATATACCAAGTTATAATTTAGAACTTCTTCTATGCTAATAATTTTATCGTTTTCAACCTTCACTGATAAGTGTTCTAGGTTCATCATTGTTAATTGAAAACGTAAATTATGCGTTACTTGTATGAAATATGATTTATACTCTTTTGAATCTACTCGACAATCAACAATTCCAACTCCAAAAAAAATACTTTTAGTTAAAATTATCAAGATTAATAATTCAATGTTCATTTTCAAAAATATTTGATTTATTAATAACGTTAAAAATTATGAGAAGTAATATTATTTAACGCGTTGAACACATTAAATGTGTTTTTTTTGTTATAAATTTTATAACAAAAAAAATTTATGAAACAGATGCGTATACATTTTTTTATAATAATTTTTATACTTTTGTTTAAATATTGATTTTATAATGAACTTTAAAATTAAAAACATAAAATATTCAACATTAAAAATATTTTTATACACAATTGCAGTGTCAAAATTGATCTAGTGGTCATTATTTTAATTACAAATTTTTTCAGGTAATAACATTGGAGTATTCCTTAAGCTAATATTAAATATTATTGTAGACTGATAGACTTAATGTCTTACAGTACACATTTAATGCTCGACAAAAAATGTTTTGCTTTTAATCATGTGCTTTCCTAATGTGGTGTATAGATACCTGTGATGAAATAAATACATAGAAATGTTAAAAGTCAATAATGACTTTTGGTGATATTTGGATACACTATTTTGAACAATACATATTTCTTTACTTCACTTCTTTTTCAGCATATTTTATTAAAATATTAATTAGTTTTGAAATATTGTTACAAACGTTGTTATTGATCTTGTTATTATGATTATTTAATGTCGTACTTGTACCTTGTTTACGAGAAAACCTTGAATAATTATTATAATATTAATATATTATAAAAATATTATAATATTTCATTCATCTGTATTCATTTTGGGTTGTATTCGAAGATTTATTATAAAACTGTAAATTTATTTATTCGATTTTTGATGACAGAAAAAAAATAGTTTTTATAATTAAATTTAGAAGTCTATTATAAATGTATTATAAATGTTTGAGCTCTGGGGATGAGAAGCCTTATCACACTTACCCGGTGACACTAGAAATAAATAGTGTGGTGTAGAGATGGTAAAATGTTAAAATAAATTGGACACCAGGACGTGACTCATAAATATTATAGACACAATAATAATAATCAATTCAATATAAACAGAAGAATAAAAAATTCCAAACAATTAGAAATGTCATCTGTGTGACTTTTTAAACCTATACCATAGTGTATGACTAGCTGAATAAAATAAATTTAAATTTAAATTGATAATCAATTTAAAAAAACATAACTGTATAAATTTCTAACAATAATATGAAAAATACACTGTAACGATGAATTTGACTAAAACGTTTTTGTGTATAAACATGAACGTATTAAACTGTACTATGTATTGTGTATTGTAATTAATAATATGAATATTTGAATAAATATTGTATTATTATTATTATTATGAATATTTGATAAATATATACAGCTTGATTATCTATATTGAATTTTATGTACTTTAAAAAAAAAACATGAATAAAATTTTTACTAATTCATACGAAAAAACTTAACCTATTTATTACAATAGTACATATTACATTATCTGATGCGTCTGATGCCGTCCATCGTTTTGGGTGAGGGAAGGTGATTTGCGATGGGCAGTACGTAGTTCGAAATAATTTAGAGGCGCAAACAATAAACTCAAAAATAAGTAAGGAATTTTGTATAAAATGATCTTGATTGACGATTGATAGATAGATTTAGTATAAAATATTACAATTTAAAATTAAAACAAATTGTGAAAAAAATAACCAGTGCGTGTACGAGTAAGCGAGGATGAAATGAAACTTCTTCCAGAGTATTGATAAAATATTAGGTTTGTATTTGAATAAAATAAAACAATACACCTAAATATTTTGTTTTCAGTTGAGATTAATTTAATTGATTATTATTATTAATTTTCATATTTTATTGCCTCGAAAGATATAATGGATTTATGATAACTCAAATAACTTATGTAAGTTTTTGATTAGACGTTATGAAGGTATCATGTGAAAATTCCATCTATTGTGGTTTTTAAATTTTTTGTATGCATAATCAAAATTATTTAATTTATTTTAAATAAAATTACTTGAATCTTCGAGAATGCAGTGCTTAATTATAATATAAAATATATTTTATTAACTATTATTATTTATAAAAGTATATACAGAGTGATAGGATTTTTCATAAACCACTCAATTACTCACAAAATAAATACAATATTGGAAAAATTAAATGTGATTTCTTTTAGTTACATATTGATTTGTACCGTATAGTTATATCATATATTATTTTACAATATACTGATATTTAAAAATATACCGTGCTTAGTTTCATCAATAATTTTGTCTGCTGTTGTGTTGTTAAAATATTAAATATACATATCATACTACATTGAATTGCTTTAATAAATATTTAATTATATATTATACTTATAAATCATAAAACTACTAATTAGAAATAATGAATGAAATAGAAGTTAATTTTGCTTTTGAAATAATCAATCAATTTCTTAAAGTTAAACAATATCTAAAGATTTTTATCGAATCATTTCTTATGATGGTGTTTTTATTCATTGTTATGACAGTATATATGATATATGTATCATATATACTTACTATTTCACAACTGCACTATGTTAAAGTTTATTTTGTTAATATACAAAGCTATTCATTTTTGGTATTGTATAAGTTACTACAAATGTTAAGTAGTTTTAAAAACTTATTATGATGACTTTTAATTGTTTATGTATGATTGTAATTAAACATAGTAACAGTCTTATTGAAAATCTATAAAAACTTTGCTTAATGTTAAAAATAAAAACTAAGTTTGTGTTAAATATGTAATTTTCATAGTCACCAGTTTTTCACAGATTTAATTTATGATTAATTTTCAATTATAGTAATAAAGGTAATATAATAGTTTATTTGATTTGTAATAGTTTTAATTACTACACATTTGATGAAATTTGTAAAATAATACAAAGTAAAAACTCAAAAACTCATTTTAAATATATAGGATTCGAAAATAGACAGAACAATGAAATAAACGTTAAAAGTGTATACTAAATTTTAATTAAATACATAACAACAACGAAAACAATATTAATCATATTATGTTAAAATAAACAAATGCTGATACAATTTCATACGATTAATGAACAATTTAACTAACCATAATTCGTAGTCCTGATGATTATTAAAAAAAATAAATAAATATTACTACAGACATTTTGTAATAAAATAATTATATTAAAAAAAAAAGATTAAAAGTAATATCAAGTTTATTTATAAAAAATAAAATAAAATTTCGAAATTTTGGTTAATTATTAATATATATTTTATTGAAACCTAAATAGTCGTATTCACTTCTAATAGCAATATTAAAATACTTCATAAAGTGTTCTAAACCATATTCATACAAATGTAATGGACGGTCGTGTGTGTTATTATTAGCTGACGAAACAATACTCACCCATGAATTTATTAATTGACTTTTGTTTAAAATTTCATAATCAATCAAGCAACAATCACTAAAAGAATTACGTCTATCATTAAGTTTTCGAGTAAAAATAAATCGAGCGTTTTGAAAATCGCACAATAATTTATTGACTTTCGTTTCTGATTCTTTGAGAGATAGATTGATAAAATCATTTTTTCTAAAATTAAGATTTTCAATATTGGAGAAAAAATTACTTAATAAATTATAGGTTTGCGTTAAACATGTATATGAATTATACATCACTTCCCAAATATATGAAGCTTTTAATTTATCTAAAGCTAACATCATATAATTAAACATGTCTTTTGAATCATTGACCATTTCAAAAAATTGAAGAGTACAATTTACAAAGTTATAATTACTTCTGGTCTTTTCATTTCTGCATATTTGTATAATAGCAGACATATAAATGTTATACTTTTTCAATACTTCTGTATATCTGCACCTAATCAGTAGTGTAAAGTATTTTCTTTTCTTATTAAAATTAAAATCGTCTACAGTGTCTCTAATTATTCGATTAGTAGTTATTAATTCATCATCAATTATTATTCTTATATGATTCAATAGATTCCAATTTCCTTCATGAAACAAAATATTTAGATTTTTAGTTATTTTATATTGAGGAAAACCAATGTTCTGAGGGGGTGATAGCCTAAAATAAAACAATAATTATTATTATTATCTATTATTTAGACTCCAAAAAATAGTGTCATAAAAAAATTATTGTATACAATTTATTTAATAAAATTTATTTTACATTCAAGAATGTTGTTTCATAGGAAGCAGCTAAACCATATGGCGATGTAGCAGTTATACGGTCTTGTCTTAACTCTGCTTACGAACAATTCGAATTGTCATGATGGTAGTTGGGGTGGGTAAGCAAAGACACTAGGGATCAGTTGTCAACTTGGTTTAGTTGGGTTCATATATTCAATGGTAATTGTGAAAACTAATTCACTAGATCTTTGTTAAAATATTTCCCTAACAAAAAAATTAACAAACTGAAATGGTTCACTGTGTTTGAAATATAATTTAACTTCCGTTAATTTTTGTTTAAATGACTAATTTTTAATATTACTCTCAAAATTAAATTCATTGTATACGACAATATTTTTATTAAACAATATAACTTACTCATGTATATTAGGATTAAATAACTGATTAAATCCAATTTTTAAAAAAAATGTATTGATGGTTTCTGAACAACAATGAATTAACTTTACTCGAACAAAATCGACAAAATTGTTTACATACTTATTATTTGTGAATTCACCATAGTACTTTTCTCGTAAATTAAATTCCTTTCTACTGTTTATAATAGTAACATTGTTATTATTAATTGAATCTGTTATTGCAACTATTTTATTAATGAAATTATTTATTTCAATATAGTCTTCTAAAAGTACTTCTATTTTAATATTTCCAGCATTATTTACATAATTATAAATACCTGGCGTTTTCATTAATGATGTATAGTTTTTAACAGTATAAATTTCTTCTACTATCGTTTTTGGATGAATTGAGTTTTTTAGCACTAATTTTATGTCCAAATAGTCAATAAATATAATAGCTTTATATAAATATTCAAACATCACATTTGAATTTTTAGCTGCATTTAAAAGTATTACTGTGCAATAAGTCGCATTCTCAAACGAATTTTGTTTAAAAAAAATGTCACATTCATCTAAAATTATTTTTAAGTGTTCGGTAAAATTTTGTAGTTCTTTAGAAAATAAATAGTTGAGTAAATCAACTATAATTTTATATTTAATTAATAATTCATTATTATTTTCTGATTTATATTTTAGGGTATCTTCTATGCTTATAATTTCATCTTTTGATATACTTACTGATATATGTTCCAGGTTTATCTTTTTTAATTGATCACTTATGTAATTCGTTACTTTTTTTAAATAAATTGCATACTCTTTGTGGTCAATGTAACAATTAACAATGCCAACTCCAAGAAAAATATTTATAATGAATAATATCATCAAAGTTAGGAATCGAAGTGGCATTTTTAAAATGAAATTATTTTGAAATAAGTATCCGAATTATTATAAACGTTTAAATTGGTATTATGGCATATATTATTTAACGAATTGATTACATATTTAACAAAAAAAAAAAATGTACGCAATAGAATATATGAATATTTTTTTTATAAAATAAATTTGTTAGCAATTGTTTAATTATTGATTTAATAATAAAGTTAAAATTTGAAATACAAGTGATACATTATAAAATCATTTCATAAAGAAAATATTGCATATAAAATTAAAACTATTATTTTTTTTAATCTTATTTTTAGCTTGCATATAATATGGAAAACAATTTTTATTTAAATGAATACCTTACTTTAAAAAACTGAAAATTTTACCTTCGTTCCTCATAAATTCTGGATATCCCCACAAAAATTACAATTTATAAAATCGGTAATTTTCGATATTTTTGACACGCTTACATTATGTAAGTTTGTAACTCTCCACGCTCAACGTGTTATTATTCTTGTGTATCCCGTCGTCTATGACCTTGAGATTTGACTGTCGTAACGCATTCATCACACTCTGCTCACCACACGACTGCAACACTAACCCTGTATAATTTTTTTATGAAGATATCTGCAGGTATATAGCCTTTATTATCAATTGTAGTAGTTGTGAATTTGAAAAAGTTATGGAAGTTTTAAGAAAAAAAAGTGAAAAAAAATGACAAAATTTACCGATTTTTAAATTTGTAATTTTTTTGGATATTTCCCCCATTTGCGGGGAACGAGGGAGAATTTTTCTATTTTTAAGGGTAATGTCTCCAATTAGATACGATTTGTGATCTTTTGACGTATCGTTGAGAGAAATCGGTCCAGTGAGAGCTGAGAAAAAGTGGCATAAAAAAATTATATTGATCCATACACTTTTCAATAAGTTATAGCATTAAAAGTTTCACACAAAAATACTATTCGGTAGTCATTTTCACTGTGAAGACAAAATAAAGTCCGAAATTTTTATTATTCATGATAAAGTATATTGCATTAGTTTTAATTTAAGATATATATAAAAGTGTTAGACTTTCCGGAACACTTTCAAATGTTAAGTTAAAAAAGTTAATTTTTTGTGAAAAATTTTTCATTTTAAATCCGCTCTTTTGGGCAGGTAAAGGGTCAAATTTATAAAAAAATATACCAAATGAATAGTAAAGACATCATGCATCTATAAAAAAATGATATTGATTTGGTTATTTTTAACAAAGTTATGGCAGTTATAAGTAAAAAAAAAAATGATATAATGTCAAAAATTATCGATTTTTGAATTTGTAATTTTTTTGGAGATTTCCATCATTTACGTGGAAAAAGGAAAATTTTTCAAATTTTGACGGTAATGTCTTCGACTATATACGGTTTGTGATATTTTGATGTCTCGTTGAAAAAAATCGGTCCATTGAGAGCTGAGAAAAAGTAGTGACGGACAAAAAAATATATATATATAATCACATCATGTTAAAATTAATACCCTTCTCAGCTTTGCATACAATAAAATATGAAAAAATATCAAAATTTAGCGATTTTTAAATTTGTAATTTTTTTGGAGATATCCTTCATTTACGGGCAATGAGGGAAATTTTTTCAAATTTTGACAGTAATGTCTTCGACTCGAGACGATTTGTGATCTTTTGACGTATCGTTGAAAGAAATCGGTTCGATGAGTACTGAGAAAAAGTGGTCACAGATACAAAAAAATATATATAAACACAACATAGTAACACCAATACCTTCTCAGCTTCGCATTGACGCTGAAAGTAACTTTGAATTTTGAATTAGCTAAGGGTACAAGGTTCAAATCCATTTGTGGCAATTATTTTTTTGCATTTTTTCCTTAATTCTTTTTGAGTTTGAAAACAATTTTAAATTATTTAATTTTTATCTCATTTAAATTCAATAACCAATAATAATTATTATCAAGGATACCATCACTGTAGTCTCCCCTCTTGCGATTTATTTTCTCAACACTCACTTGACCTACTTTTTTCATTAATATGCTAAATTATAACAATTCGTATTTAGTTGAAGATATTTCCTTGAAAATTGAAAAAAAAATCCCTTAATAATATAAAAAATAGTTCAACCAGCTTTTTTCATACAAACAATTAAAATTATTAATTTCTAATATTTTTAAAGTATTTATTTTCAAAGTAGATTTGATATGATAAAAATTTCAACTGCAAAAGTAAATAATTCTACTTTATGATTTGTGACTTATTTCTGTTTAAATTACATTATTTTTAACTGGACATTTGATTTGACATGGCTATTTCTTATTTAATTTTTTAGTTACTTTTGAATAAGTAACGAACTGACCTATTTTTAATTTTAATACTTTATTTTGCTCATTTCACTTTATGTTAAAATTTATACATTTAATATTCCTGAATTATGTATAAGTCCATATATAAATTGATTTTATTATTATTACAATACCCCTATGCTTCAGTCGTTGGACTGGCCAAGCCAATTATAAATTTTGTTGTTTTAGACTTATATATAATTTTGTATTTTTCTCTGGTGAAAGATTTGAACATTTGAATTTTATTACGGGTTCAACTCAAATTTTTTTATAAAATATACTAATTTAAATTTCCAGCTTAAAAGCTAATGAAAATTTTGCTGGATAAATCAAAATACTTTATTTAATCACATCTTTGATCGCATCATTTTACCGACAGCATTATTTTACCAGTACTCATACTGCAATTATATTTTATGTTATACTAATAGTGCGGTATATGAGCTAAAATTAATTTAAATTTCAAGTTCAATCAGATTATCTGATATTAATTAACTTACCAATATTAACGTTAGTATATCACTTTATATTAACTCTATTTTAAAGTTTATTGAAGATTTTAGCCATATTCAAACTTAAATAATTATATTATTCAGCTAAATTTGATTTTTTTTTGTCATTAACATAACATTTTTCATTGATATTTAACCCGTCCGCGGTATTTTTAAATTTGTTACTAGTGCGATTAGTAGTTTAACTTACCTTAATTATTTTATTATATAACAGTACAATTAATTATTATTATATCTAATCCGTTAGTGCGACAAACATAAACATACACGTGAGTCAAAAACCGAATTTCATTTTAGCTTCGATGCGAAGCTAAGAAGGTATTAGCTTAACTATGATGTTTTTTTTTTGTGTCTGTTACCAATTTTTTTCAGTTCTCCCCGAACAAATTTTTTTCAACGTTACGTCAAAAGATCTCAATTTGTATTTAATCGAAGACATTACCCTCAAAAATTGAAAAAATTTCCATCGTTTCCCGTAAATGGGGGAAACCTCCATAAAAATTACAAATTTAAAAATCGCTAATTTTCGAAATTTTTTATACTTATTTTTTTTTTTTTTTTTTAAATTTGACACTTGACCTGCTCACAGTGGGGATTTCAAATGACAACTTTTTCACAAAAAATTAATTTTTGAAAGTGTTCCGGAAAATCAGATACTTTTATATATATCTTAAATTAAAGATCATATAATATACTTTATGAAAAAATAAAATTTCGGACTTTAGATTGTCTTCACGGTAAAAATGGCTACTGTATGCTATTTTTGTGTGAATATTCTCGATTCTATATTTTACATTTTTAACTTTAGAATGCTATAACTTATTCAAAAAGGTATGAATCAACACAATTTTTTTATGAGAAATAATATTTATATCGTTTTTTATTCGACATACTTTATCTTATTGAAGATATTAATAAGGAAATAGCTGATCATGTAGCTTTTTTTTATAGTGATTTTAATCACTGTCAGATATCATTATACTTGATCCAACTATGACACGTCACCTCTGTGCCGCGACCGCCTTGTGTTGGGTTTTTATTTTTTAATACAACATTTTTTTCTTTTCTAAAAGCTAAACTTTTTTTCCTTTTTGACTTAAGCAGTCAAACTATTGTTTTTGTTTTTTTTTTGTAATTTTTTTTAGAGTATTTATACTTAAATTCTGTTTTTCGATCCCATAGTGAGGATTAATCAAATTATTCATAATTTGTCTTAACTAAACGCATCTGTTTGTTTTTTATTTCTTTATAAATATTTCTTATTCTTTTTGCAGTACGGTAAGCCTTACTGTTTACGATCGCTTATCTGTCGTTCTATATTTTTTCTTAGATTTATGGCTGAAGTCGCTGGATAAAGAAAAACCAAGTCACCTGATCGTTTTGGATTTGAAAGATCTAGTTTTAATGACGCGAAAATTTTATCTACAACATAGGATTTTTCATCAAATTGTATCATAGCTGAAACAAAAGTACCATCTAATTCTGAACTTTATACATTTAATTTAGAAATGCGAAAAGATATTAATAATCTCAATCATTTTCAAAATTAACTGCCAGAGCACACTATCTTATAATTAGTTTTTAAACTAATTTTTATAGTATTCAAGCTACTGAACAACAATAAAATAAACGATAGCACATTAGGGTAATGGCAAAGTTTGGACTAATATAGAAAATATCTGGCGGTGATTAAAATCACTATCATAAAAAAACTTTGATGCAAATCTGTAGATAGAGTTTTATTTTAAGAAATTTGTTGATTATTCAAAAGCCACATTCTACCTCAAAAATAATTAAACAAAAAATTCATTGCACAGACGGGTATTAACCTAGTACCAAGCGCAATTTAAGCTAATTCAAAATTAAAGTCACTTTTTGCGACTTAAAAGAAGCAAAAATATTTAAATAAGTTTAACTTTATAATTTACATTACAATTAATGTCAATGAAATTTATATAATATTCATGAAAATCAGTGTAGTCCCCTTATAAGTTATATTAAAATGAATTAAAAACAATACCAAGAATTTTAACACAGAAATAGCATATTTTTGAACATGGAGACCATTTTTACTATGAAGACGATTTTATGGAGATCGAATATTTTTTTTCACAGTGCAGTACATTACACAACCTATAATTTAAGATATACAGAAATGTGTCAATATTTCTGGGATATTTTCAAAAATTAAGTAAAAAAAGTTTAATTTATGTGCAAAAATTGCTTTTTTAAATCCCCCTGTAGGCAGGTCAAGTGTCAAATTTTCAAAAAGTTTATATTAAATGAGAAAGATATATGTAAGGTTTCAATATATAAAAAATTATGTTGATTTTTTAATATTTTGATAAATTTATGGCAGTTATAAGTTTAAAAATAAAATTTCCAATCGGAAATCGTCAAGTATTATACCTGCGCGGACTAATTAAAAAAAAAAAAATGGTAGCACAGTGTGAGCGTAGCATAGTTGGGACTAATATAGATAATATCTGACACTGATTAAAATCACTATCATAAGAAACGTTTTTATCCAAATCTGTAAATATTGTTTAATTTTAAGAAATTGGCGGATTAATCAATCATTTTTAACCTATCTTTTTTTTTGTGAAAGTTTATAATAAAAAAAAAGAATGAATTTATTGCCATAACTTCAGCTCATTTTTCAAGTTTAAAATTGATATCATTAAATGGAAAAAAATATAATTAATATGCAGTCAGCAAATTTTATACTTACTACTTACAGTAAATTTATCAGAAATTGGAAATATGCTCACCTAAGCATTTGGTAGCTGCTAATTAAATTCTTAGAAATAAGTATAGTATTCAAATAAACCTAGTCATTGTTAGCAAATAAATCAGAAACTATATGAATCAAATTTTTTTTTTTTTTAATATTGTATTGATTTACAATCATTCTGTAAAGTAAAAGTCCTTTTTAAAGTGATAAGAATGTAAGTTATCAAAAGATCTAATAATAGAAAATAATATTCAATATTATAGAAGAAGAAAATTAATTTATTGTTATTTAATTTAAAGAAAAAACTTTTTAATGATAAACTGTTATTGTCGTTCCCCTACTTTCAGGTAGTAAATTGTAGATAGCTGAGGAAAATAATAAAACAAAAACTCCACTTTCAAAGCAATACATGATTGTTATAATATATAAAAACACTTTATATAAATATATAAATTTTTCATTATTTAACTATTTAGAATTTTTTTTAGCTTATAACTTATAAATTTTATTAAAAATTATTTTTCACCTTATTATAACAAAGATTTTAGTCCAAAAATGTAAAAAAATTAAAGAAATGCAAATTATTTGCTCAAAAAAAAGTTATCAAAGATTATTTATGAAGATAATATATGAAGAAATAAATTCTCTATACTTTATGAAAAATGCATAATTATTTTTTTATAAATAACAAAAAGCTAGTGCAACAATGATAAATTATAATTAATAATTATCAAAATATATTCTCTATATTTTATAGAAAAAGCATTTTTATTTTAATAAAGATTTTATTTAAAAGCAAAAAATACCAAAAATCTGGTTTTACTATGAACCCTTATCAAAATGTAGATATTTTAATTAAACGCACAGTAAAAACTAAAACAACATTAAAAACTATGTATTAAAATGAAAATATTACAAAATATCCTATGATTCATGAACAATTTAAACAGCCAAATTTCGTAGCCCTGATAATTTTATTAAAAATAAGAATAAAATATTACTACAGAAATTTTATAATAAAAAAATTAAACTTAATAAAAACAGTTATAAATTTTAACAAGATCATTAATATAATATATAAGATAAATATAAAACTTTCTTCAATTGTTAATAGTTATTTTATCGAAACCTAAACAGTTGTATTCACTTCTAATAGCAATATTAAAAAACGTCATAAAGTCTTCCAAACCATATTCATACAAATGTAGTGGACGATCGAGTGTGTTGTTATTATTAGTTGACGAAACAATACTCTCCCATGAACTTATTAATTGACTTTTGTTTAACATTTCACTATCAATCAAGCAATATTCATTAAATAAATTTCGTCCGTCATTAATTCTTTTAGTAAAATTTTGTTGAGCTTTTTGGAAATCATTTGACAATTTAATTACTTTCATTTCTAGTTCATTAAAAGATAAATTAATAAAATCATTTTTCCTAAAATTAAGATTTTCAATTTTAGAGAAAAATTTATTCAAGAAATTATAGGTTTGCGTTAAACATGCATATGAATTATACATCACTTCCCAAATATATGAAGCTTGTAATTTATCTAAAGCTAACAACATATACTTAAACATGTCTTTTGAATCATTAACCATTTCAATAAATTGAAGAGTACAATGTACAAAGTTATGATTACTTATGGTCTTTTCATTTCTGCATGTTTGAATTATAGCAGTCATATATATGTCGTAGTTTTTCAATACTTCTGTATATCTGCACCTTATCAACAGTGTAAAGTATTTTCTTTTCATATTAAAATTAAAATCGTCTACAGTGTCTCGAGTAATTCGATTTGTAGTTATAATTTCATCATCAATTGTTATTCTTATATGATTTAATAATTTCCAATCTCCTTCACTGAACAAAGTGTTTAATGCTTTAATTGCTTCATTTTGATTGGAGTTTTGAGGGGGCATAAGCCTAAATAAAACAATAGCTATTTTAATCTAGACTCTGAAAAACATACTAAAAAATAATTTTTGTATAATTTTTATTTAACAACATTGTTGTCTCGTAAGAGACAGTTAAACCGTATAACCAATCACATAGAATGGTCATGATGGGAAATGGAGTGAGTAAGCAAAGACGTTAGGGATCAGTTGTCAGCTGGGTTTGGTTAGGTTCATATATTCAACGGTAATAATGAAAACTAATCCACTAGGTTTTTGTTAGAAAATTAACAACCTGAAATGATTTACTCTATTTAAAATACAATTAAGATTACACAATTTAACTACCGTTCATTTTTGTTTTTAAAATTACTCTAAAAGTTAAATTCCAATTAGACAACAAATTTTTTTTAAAAAATAAAACTTACTCAGGTATATTAGGATAAAGTAACTGATTAAATCCAATTTTTTCATAAAAGTCATAAATGGTTTCTGAACAATAAAGATATAGCTTTTCTCTAACAAAATCGGCAAAATTCATTATATTCTTATTATTTATGTATTCACCATAGTACTTTTCTCGTAAATTAAATTCCTTTCTACTGTTTATAATAGTAACATTGTTATTATTAATTGAATCTNGTTCTACTATTTATAATAGTAACATTATTATTATTAATTGAATCTGTTATTGCAGCTATTTTATTAACGAAATTATTTATTTCAATATAGTCTTCTAAAAGTACTTCTATTTTAATATTTCCGCCATTATTTACATAATTATAAATTTCTGGCGTTTTCATTAAAAACGTATAGTTTTTAACAGTATAAATTTCTTCTACTATCGTTNGCCATTATTTACATAATTATAAATACCTGGCGTTTTCATTAAAAACGTATAGTTTTTAACAGTATAAATTTCTTCTACTATCGTTTTTGGATGAATTGAGTTTCTTAGCACTAATTTTACGTCCAAATAGTCAATAAATATAATAGCTTTATATAAATATTCAAACATCACATTTGAATTTTTAGCTGCATTTAAAAGTATTACTGTGCAATAAGTCGCATTCTCAAACGAATTTTGTTTAAAAAAAATGTCACAATCATCTAAAATAATTTTTAAGTGTTCGGTATAATTTTGCAGTTCTTTTGAAAATAAATAATTGAGCAAATCGACTATAATTTTATATTTAGATAAAAATTCATTATGATATTTTGATTTATATTTGAGTACATCTTGTATGCTCATAATTTTATCATTTGATATGCTTACTGATATATGTTCCAAGTTTATATTTCTTAAATGAACACTTAGATAATTCGTTACTTCTTCTAAATATATTGCATACTCTTTTTGTTCTATGTAACAATTAACAATGCCAACTCCAGGAAAAATATTTATAATGAATAATATTAAAGTTAGTAATCTAAGTGTCATTTTTAAAATTATTTTGAAATTACAAGTATTCGAATTATTAAAAATGTTTAAATTTATATTATGTCCAATATTTTTTCAAAGAATTGATCATATTTAAAAAAAATGTATATATAATTTTTTATATAATAATTCTCTTAACAATTGTTTAATTATTGATTTAATAAAAATGTAAAAATTAAAAATACAGGTGATGAATTATGAAATCTTTTCATAACCGAAAATATTATATACAATATTTTAACGTTTTTTTTCTTAATTCTTACCTTTAGTTGGCTTATAATATGGAAAAAACTTTTGTTCGTATTATATTTGTTAGTTGATTAATGATTTAATATTCTGTTATAGTTTGATTAAGTTTAGTAATATTTTACAAATATTCTATTAATATAGATATTATTCATCATACATACAGAAATCTTTTATAATTAACGTCTGTTAATAAGAACAAAATTTTATATCCACGCAAGTGTACTTTTAATATAAAATTTGTATGGAGAAATTTTCTTATTAAACTATAATAAAAATAATTAATGTCTATCGAAATATATTATTGTTGCCTCCGATATTATGAAAAGCAATCGAATGATTAATTCATATTTCTAAATTAAATTTTTAAACAATTTTGAAGTGCGCACGATTGATTGAATACAAAAAATAATATAAACAAAATTTTTTTATTCCATCATATCTAATAAAGTAAAATATCCGTAATAACGCTGTAAAACTCTAATTTGCGTCAAACAAAATGATAGTAAATTCTGAATGGAATTTTGTTGCTACTTTCAGTTTGGTTTTTTATATAATTGCTGTTTGGTACAGAATGCCTTTAACAAAGATTTAGTAGACCAGTTGTTATAAACGTTGTTGATTATATTATATTGTGTGACAGCTGATCTCCAGCGTCTTGCTTTACTCACCCCTTTGCCCACCCAGCATGGCAAATCGATGACCTCCGTGTCGATTGTCATCCGTGTACAGTTCATTGTCGTAAGTCAGTCAGTCAATTGTTTTTTTATGTGTCTCTCTTTTCTGTAACAAGCGCCTTCGCTTGAACGGTAAATCGTCCGGCCGTTGTACGCCATAGATTTTTATTACTTGTTTATTGCACCCTTGTACTGAAAGTTTACGTGCCCTTGCACGCCATAAGTGATTGGGCCCTGACCATCACTTAATATCTTCATTGCCGTAGTCGCCTTTTCGCGTTCTGTTCTCACTCTGACTCTTCATACTCAGATGTTCGACACTATTACCACAAGATCTCATACAGTCCACTCATCATCATCAACAGCTTCATCTATTCAGCTGAGTTTATATTATTTTTTAATGTTATTTATTGTTTGTTTTAATTGAGATTAACTATTTTGTTTTATGCCGCTTCGCCGGCCATTAGTATTTACCGTTACCTTTAAATTTAAGATACTCTCTGAGGAATTTAATATATGTCATTATTTGATATTTAATTATTGTCTACTCTCGTTTAATTATTAGATGTATAGTTAACCGTCATCCCTCAGGTGACCCTTCCCGCTTCAATTATAACGATATAAATAGGCTAATGGTAAAACGACATTCTAGTGCGGTGCACAACTAGCCTTTCTACGGTCTACCTGCCTCGTACAAAACAAATGCTAAAAAGTGAAAATTATTCATTAAAAAAAAAAATTTTAAAAACAATATTTAAAACTTTAATAGGCTATATTTAGCATTTACTTGCAAAATTTGAGCTCTGTATCTCGAGCTTGATGAGTCATTAATACAGTTAAGTCCATCTAGTAGCCTGAATGATCTAAATAGGTTTACAGTCTAAATTTCATTAATTATTTATCACGTAGTCTCATTGTATTTCAATTGTAGTTATTAGATTTATTTTTAACTGTCTTTGCCTTCATATTTTTTTATTAATCGTTATTGAAAAAACATTTATTTTCCTTGCGTCAGTCTTAAAAGTTATATAGATTTTTGCTTAAATATTTGAAAATAAATCTATTTTTTGTTGTTTGATATTATGAGCTTATATTACATTGATGATATAATGCTCTAATACTATAATCAGTAACGATTGTAATGTTGCAAAATTTATACAAGTTTTTTTTAATAAATATTATCAATTAGAGGTGTGTGCAGTAGGTGTAAAGTATTTTAATAATTGTGTATGTGATAGCCTCCACTAGTTAACCAGTCCGATATCTGTCATCCTATCGCAGGGCCGTGATTACAATTTGCGAGGCCCGGGGCAAAAATGACCATTTTTTTTTTTGCTCATCAATAGCAGGAGTACCAGGCTAGTACCTAGGGCCAAATAATTTTATATCAACAAAACATAGATAACAACACTTCATTTTTATCATTATTATAAATAAAAATACTACAAAAATGTTTTTCTACAAATTTTAAAAACTTATAAAGAAAAAAATTANTACAAAAATGTTTTTCTACAAATTTTAAAAACTTATAAAGAAAAAAATTAAACAACTATTTATTGTGAATTTTAAATTGTAAAATTATTTATGACTCCATTGTAATAAAATTCAAGAGTACCCACAGTGGCTTTTTAATATTAGTCAAAAATTTGCTTTAATTTAATAATATTAAAAGAATAAAAAACAATGTCTTATTTAAACTGACCTTCGTTAAAACAATTTAAATTACATAAAATCAATTTTTTTAGCTTTTATTTCGGCAAACTTTTTAATAATATCGTCATAATCTAAATTTTCACACAGATCACGTTCGATTGAAATAATTGCTAGATCAGAAAGACGATTTTGTGTCATAGATGTCCTTAAATAATTTTTTATGATTTTTAACTTGGAGAAACTTCTCTCTGCGCTTGCTGTGGTTATCGGAAGGGTCAATAATAATCTCAATGCAATAGAAATGTTTGGAAATGAGCCACATGTTGTTTCTATTAAATTAAGACATTCTATAGAAGTCATTTGTTTGTTCAAAATTCTACAAAAAATTTTTAATTCGTCAAAAAGTTCAATACCATTTATATCATTATTTTCACCATCTTTTAATAAAATTTCTAAATCCATACAATGTTTTCTTAACGTTTCTTCGTCAAATGTTTTTAAATTTTCAATATTATATAAAAATCCAAAATATTCTGAATGATGAGATAGTTGTTCAAAACGTTCATTAATTGATACGATTGCTTGATCTATTACGGCTAAAAAATAATCATCGTAAAATGTTTGCTCAGCTGAATTTAGACGTGCATCTTTGCTTTCATAATTGAACTGCCTAACTTTTTTTTTAATTCTAGATTGTTTAAAAACTGCTTGAATATCAAGGCCTTCACATAAATTTTGCGCAATTTTTTTTGACGACTCAAATCCTTCATTTCTAAAATTATAAAAAAAATCTTTAAGACCACTCAACAACTGTACAGCATTACTTAATTCCATATTTTTGCTCTGAAGACTCTTACTAACATTATTTATAGCAGATAACAGTTCGTACCAAATAACAACACTTAAAATAAAGTCATAACAAAATTCATAGTTTGCTAATGACGAGCTTTCACTTTTTATTTTAGGATCCTTCGTTGATTCACTAATTTCTATTAAAGCGTCATGTACATGGCATAATTGAAAACGGATAGGCTTAACCGATTCGACCCGAGATTCCCATCTAGTATCTGACATTGGTTTTAGTGTAAAATCTGAAACGTATTTGAGAAGAATAGTCCATCTTTCAGTAGAGGCAGCAAAAATAGAATAAATTCTTTGAATTACCCCAAAAAATGTCATAGCAGCTGGTACGGATGATGCCATATCTCCGAGAAGTAAATTATGGCTGTGAGCAGTGCACGGAACAAAAAAAGCTCTTGGGTTTTCAGAAAGGTTTCTTGACTGCACTCCTTGATGATGACCTATCATATTCGCCCCGTTGTCATACGATTGGCCACGACAATTATTTAAATCTATATTCATTAGTTTCAATTGTGCTTTTATTTCCTCTGTTAAATTCAAGCCAGTCTTACTTGTAGTATGAATGAAACATATAAAATATTCATTTATTTCATATTTGAAAATTTTCGAAATTTCTATAACGCGCAATAAAAATGTAAGCTGCTCCTTGTGACCTTTATCAGGAGTCCCGTCCAATAAAATTGTGAAATATTTACTTTGTCTTACTCGATTTATTATTTCATCACGTATTTTTGTGGCAATAATATTAATAAGTTCATTTTGTATCCTAGGACCTAAATAATGATCATGGATGTCATTATTATATACACGTTTTAAATGATCAGCCATAATTAAATCAAATTTTGCAATCATTTGAAGTAAGCCTAAAAATTTACCATTATTAGTTGTATATAACTTAGAACTTGTACCACGAAAAGCGTCATTATGCTCTGCTAAAAATTCTATACATGCAATAATTCGTTTAAGAATATTACGCCAACGTTCTTTTTCAATATTTACGTTTCTTTGAATATCATTATCTATAGTTGTATGGAGATTAAGTCTCATACGTAGTTGTAGCCATTTTTCTTGAGCTATATTATGTGAAATAGATAATTCGTGCTCTTTTAAACGTTCACTTATCTGTTTCCAATTAAAAAATCCTTCTGACGCCAATGATGAAGTTGAGTTTGAAGAAAATAAACGACAATAGAGACAAAAAACTCGATTTAAAGATTTAGAATATAAAAGCCAATTTCTTACCACTTTTTCACCGTTGCCCATTATTCGATTATAATGTGTTATGTTGAATTTTCTACCTTCGTCGTTTGATGGAAAATTATAATTTATAATTTTTGAAGGCGAGTTCTCTATTAAATAATCTCGTAATTTATCTGTAATATTTTGCCATTTACCTGGATCGTCATAATCAATTTCATCGTCCTGTACTTTTTTGTTCTCTGTATCTTCTTGGAGTAGTAAATCTTTTGATAGTTGTTGAAGATTTTCATTTACTTCATTCTGTTCAGTCTTGCTACTGGATTGTAATTCTTTTCTTTCAATAGTAATATTGTCTAACAATAATTTTTGTTCGTTATTTTCAATGTTAACTTGACTACTACTTTCGGCAACACAATCATTTTGATCTTTTTTTAAAAATTTACATAAAGAGTTTTTTAAAAGTTTATCCTGCTCTTTTTTGAACATTTTTAAGTTTTCGATTTTCAGCACCACTTTTAAATTTTCGATATTTATCACGTAATCGGCCACTCATTTTATTTTGGTCCCCGATATTTAAGCTCCAACGACCACGAAAAACGAACACATACTAAAAATTACCGTTACAAACAGTTTGTTATTTCGGTGAATAAATGGTTTTATTATTTTGACTATTTTTCTACGAAATTCGTCGATTAAAATAACATGCCTTGCCTAATCGCGTATCTCGAGTGTATGTGCATATGCGAGTTGAGTGAAAAATGATCATGGGGAAATTAGTAAACCAATTGATCTATATATATAATCCATATAAATCTAATACAATATTTCGACATTTACCATTATAATGTTTGAAATTGTATTTCAAATGTATTACTTCTGTTTAAATAGCAGGTTTTTTTAAATATACAAATTAAAAAAGTATAATCACAAGAACTAATTAATTTTAAATGAAATTGTCAAGTAATACTCTACTTTTTTTTTTGAATTGCGAGAAGTGGCGGGAAATTTACATCATCTGGCGCAAGTAGGGAAATTTTCTCAATGACCTTTTTTTTTTACTCATCTTTCTACAGGTCTGGTATTTTTGTGCGAGACCCCAAAAGCGCGAGGCCCAGGGCCTGGGCCCTGCTTGCCCCCCCCTTAGGATGGCCCTGTCCTATCGTCATCAGCTGTCCGTACACTATGCACCTATACTCATATTGTTGTATTTCCCCCAATGGACGTGTCAAAGTTGGTACCACCACCACCCGGCGTCACAATCACCGGGCATTATAAATGTCGCGACAACGGATATTTTTTTTTCTCAGCTATACTACTGAGGCGACAAGTCGTATTTTGTCTAGAACTTTTTTTGTTGTGAAAACCACGTTTTTTTTTTGTCCTCCGTTTTTTTTGTTAAAATAAACGTCGAGTCGACCTGCCGTCTACTTGTGGTGTCAACCTGACTGTATTTTTTTTTTGTCCTCCATTTTTTTTTTTTTAAATAAAACGTTGAGATGCCAATGATGATGATGTGAGACACAATTATGGCCGGTGGTGGGCCGTCACTCCTCAACTCAACCAACGACAAGTATCAACATGAAACCCCCTTTTACCCCATTTTTAATTTTGTGTAATTGGCACCTCTCTTTTTCTTTTTCTTTTCTTTTTTTCTTTATGAATAACGATATTTATAAATCTTTAATTATTAAATCATTAAAAAATTTTATTATACATGGCCTTTATCTTTTTATTAACATTTTTTTTTTTTATCAAAACCTAGTAGCTCCGTCAACAAGTACTATCTTGCTTGGCGCGGCTACTAGGTCACTGTCTAGTGTTGTCCCTGGGCAGTGGGTAATTAGTAGGCCCTCTGTTTTGGCTAAAACCTTACACATTAACTGGATTTTTTCAAGAGAGAGGGCTGAAGATTTTAAGCTTTGAAGCGAAGCTGAAAAGCTATTAATTTTACCATGTTTGTTTATTTTTTTTGTGTCTGTCATTACTTTTTTTCAGCTCCCACTGGAACGACTTTTTTCAATGATACGTCAAAAAATCACAAATCGTATCTAGTTGAAGACATTGCCCTCAAAAATTGAAATTATTGCACTCGCTCTCCATAAAGGGGGAAAATCAACCAAAAAATTACGATTTTTAAAATTGCTAAATTCGACAATTTTTTTCTAAAATTTGCTATAATTTATTGTAAAATTAACAAATCAAAATATTTTTTGATGTATAAACATCCCACGTATTTCCGTTTCATTTGACATAAATTTTTTGAAAATCTGACCCTTTTCTTGCCCACAGGAGGATTCAAAATAGCAACATTTGCACAAAAATTTAACTTTTTCAACTTAAAATGTATGGATTAATACAATTTTTTTTTTGATAAATACTTTATGTTTACTTCTTTTATTTAATATAATATTTTTTTAAATCAAACCATTTTCCTTTATACAGGAGGGAGTTTACATTTTTCATTATACGATAAAAAGTAGAAATTTTTCAAATTAACTTTTGAAAATATTCCGGAAATACTAAAATTGATACTTTTATTTAACCTTAAATTCTGTAATATATCTTATTATAAAAAAAAAAATGTCGTGATATAAATAAAATTGATATCATATTCAAAAAATTTTGTGTTAAAATTCTTAATATTGTATTTTAATTTACACTGCTTTTCATAAGTATTATATAAATCTAATTGACATAGAATATAAAATGCTTTTTTTGCAATTTTTCCTTAATTATTTTTGAGTTAGAATTTTGCTTTTGAATAATCCACCAATTTCATAAAATTAAACACTATCTACAGATTTGCATCGAAGCGTTTCTTTTGATAGTGATTTTAATTACTGTCAGATATTATCTATACTTGTAACAACAATGCCTAGTCCACACTGTGACGCGATCCTACTGTGCTTTAGGTTTTTTTTTATGCTTATTAGTAATAAACAAAATGTAAGGTATTTGTTCATACTCTTATTAACACCAATAAGTAACTAATAAATGATTATTAACAGTATCATTGAAAGGTTACAAATATAAAAAAACTAATTGGCCGCAACGAAAAATTTGTAACTTTCATGGCGTATTGAAAAAGTAACAAGAACAAGGATCGTCAACCTACTGGGCGAGACAATGTATTGTCGGACCACAGTAGGATTTTAATGAAAAATGAAGTTTTGTATGTTAAAGCAATTAGACAAAAATATAAAATTAATAAATATTAAAGTTGATGTCCGTTGAGTCGTTGAAAGTAGATGTACACCAAAACCTCGTGACAGTTGTCACATAACCATATTAATGAGGGATGACCTTATACAAGGACCTAAATGAAAAAATAGGGGCACCTAAAAAAAAATTTAATAATAAAAAAAATATTGTTTAATTTTAAAAAAATTGGTGTTTTATTCCAAAAGCTACTTGATCTGCTGGTTCCTTATTAATATCTCGATTAAGATAAAGTATGTCAAATGAAAAAGGGTTTATTAAAAAATATTATTTCTCATAAAAAAATTGTGTGGATCCATAAACTTTTCAATAAGTTATAGCATTAAAAAGTTAAATATAATATAAATAATAAAATCGAGAATTTTCACACGAAAATAGCATTCGGTAGCCATTTTCGCCGTGAAGACAAGTCCAGAGGTCAAATTTATTTTTTTCAAATTAAAGTGCATTACATTAGCTTTAATTTAATATATATATATAAAAGTGTCAGACCTTCCGGAACATTTTCAAAAGTTATGTTGAAAAAGTAAATTTTTTGTGAAAAAGTTGTCATTTTAAATCCCCCCTATGGGCAGGTTAAGTGTCAAATTTACAAAAAAAATATACCAAATGATAGGTAAAAACATCAAGCATCTATAAAAAAAAAAATTATATTCGTATGTACATTTTTGAAAAAGTTACGGCAGTTTTTAGTAAAAAAAATTGAAAAAATTTCGAAAATTAGCGATTTTTAAATTTGTAATTTTTTTGGAGGTTTCCCCCATTTACGGGGAACGAGGGCATTTTTTCAATTTTTGAGGGTATTGTCTTCTACTAGATACAATTTGTGATCTTTTGACGTATCGTTGAAAGAAATCCGTTCGGTGAGAGCTGAGAAAAAGTGGTAACAAACACAAAAAAAAAAAACACATCATAGTAAAAATAATACCTTCTCAGCTTCGCATCGAAGCTAAAATATAATATAAACTAGTTGTACCGCACACTACAATAAAAAAAAACCGCTACGAATAGAAATTAGCGACGACCAGTTCCGATGATGGCTAATTTCCGACAACCCGTCCGACGTTTAACCCGGCGGTCCGTTGGCTACAACACGGCTAGCCTTTAGAGTAGGGGTCAAAAAAAACTTAATACTCAGTGCCGGAAATTACTAAGAACAATTTAAATCATAAGGCGACAATGTATGCGGTGAGCAGTGCAAATGATGTTCAAGATACGAAAGAAGCGGAGTGAATGTACACACAAATGCCTTCCATGAACCGGTCTGAAATAGTACACAGCTGACTATCTCGCACGCGCATAAACAAATCACAACACCTCATCATGATTATTTGACTGACAAACGCCGTCGTAGTCCGCATTCGGCTTAACACGAATATATATATATATAAAAATAGACAAAAAAAATAAATAGATACTTTTGTCACGTCAATTGAAATTGATCAATGAAAGAAGCTATAGCTTCTTAAGCCCCCGCCCATTAGTATTATATAGAATTATTATACGTGTAAATTTCCATTAAACGAGCAAAATCGGTGTATTTTAAATATAATTTGGACTTTATACTCCTTAATAAATAATAATGACACACGAAATCTAATTAAAAATTTTTTGTCAGCGTCAAAAATTATACAGGGTGTTCAGTAAGTCAGGAAACGGGTTTCTATTGTTCTCATTGTTTGTAACAATGAGAACAATAGATACCCGTTTCCTGACTTACTGAACACCCTGTATAGGTGATTAGGAATTAAGGAAAAGAAATTCAATTGTTCTCAAAGTTTGTAACAATTTATCCGTTTCTTTTCTTTTTGAACACTCCGTTTAGCATCATGCACTCATTTATTTTTAAATATATTAAGTTTTGAATTAAAGATAATTTTTATAAAAATATTGTTATAATATCAAAAATTTTTTTATGTTCACAGCGATTATTTTAGTATTTGGTTATGCTAGAAACATAAAAATTACATTATTAAAATCCTTATAAAATTTTATATCAGTCATATATTCCCTATATTTTATAGAAAAAGCATTTTTATTTTAATAAAGAAAAGACCTTTTTAAAGTGATAAGAATGTAAGTTATCAAAATATATCAAAAAGTATAATAATAGAAAATAATATTTAATATTATAGAAGAATAAAATAAAATTATTGTTATTAATTTAAAGAAAAAACTTTTTAATGATAAACTGTTATTGTCGTTCCTCTACTTCCAGATAGTAAATTGTAGATTGCTGAGAAAAATAATAAAATAAAAACTCCACTTTCAGAGCAACACATGATTGTTATAATATATAAAAAAACCTTATATATATATATTTTTTTTTTCATTATTTAATTATTTTAATTTTATTAAAAATTATTTTTCACCTTATTATAACAAAGATTTTAGTCCAAAAATGTAAAAAAATTAAAGAAATGCAAAGTATTTGCTCAAAAAAAAGTTATCAAAGATTCTTTATGAAGATAATATATGCAAGAATAAATTCTCTATACTTTATGAAAAATGCATAATTATTTTTATAAAATAACAAAAATCTAGTGCAAAAATGTTAATTATAATTAATAATTATCAAAATATATTCTCTATATTTTATAGAAAAAGCATTTTTATTTTAATTAAGATTTTATTTCAAAGCAAAAAATAACAAAAATCTGGTTTTACCATGAACCCTTATCAAAAAGTATTTATTCTAATTAAACACACAATAAAAACTAAAACAACATTAAAAATTATGTATTAGAATGAAAATATTATAAAATATCCTATGATTCATGAACAATTTAATCAGCCATATTTCGTAGTCCTGATAATTTTATTAAAATAAAAATAAAATATTACTACAGAAATTTTATAATAAAACAATTAAACTTAATAAAAACAATTATAAATTTTAACAAGATCATTAATATAATATATAAGATAAATATAAAACTTTCTTCAATTGTTAATAGTTATATTATCGAAACCTAAACAGTTATATTCACTTCTAATAGCAATATTAAAAAACGTCATAAAGTCTTCCAAACCATATTCATACAAAAATAGTGGATGATCGAGTGTGTTGTTATTATTAGTTGACGAAACAATACTCTCCCATGAACTTATTAATTGTTTTTTGTTTAAAATTTCGCCATCAATCAAGCAACATTCATTAACAGAGTTAAGTCCGTCCTTAATTTTTAGTGTAAAATCTTTTCGAGCACTTTGAAAATTAATTAAAAATTTAGTTACCATCCTTTCTTGTTCATCAATAGATAGGTTAATAAAATCATTTTTTCTAAAATTAAGATTTTCAATTTCGGAGAAAAATTTACTCAACAAATTATAGGTTTGCGTTAAACATGCATATGAATTATACATCACTTCCCAAATATATGAAGCTTGTAATTTATCCAAAGCTAACAACATATGCTTAAACATTTCTTTTGAATCATTAACCATTTCAAAAAATTGAAGAATACAATTTACAAAGTTATTAAATTCTTTGTTGGACTTTTCATATTTGCATATTTGTATAACAGCAGACATATAAATGTTATACTTTTTCAATATTTCTGTATATCTGCACCTTATAAGCTGTGTAAAGTATTTTCTTTTCATATTAAAATTAAAATCGTCTACAGTGTCTCGAGTAATTTGATTAGTAGTGATAATTTCATCATCAATTGTTATTCTTATATGATTTAATAATTTCCAATCTCCTTTACGGAACAAAGTGTTTAGTGCTTTAATTGCTTCATTTTGATTGGTGTTTTGAGGGGGCATAAGCCTAAATAAAACAATAGCTATTTTAATCTAGACTATGAAAAACATTCTAAAAAATCATTTTTGTATAATTTTTATTTAACAACATTGGTGTCTCGTAAGAGACAGTTAAACCGTATAACCAATCACATAGAATGGTCATGATAGGAAATGGAGTGAGTAAGCAAAGACAAAAGGGATCAGTTGTCAGCTGGGTTTGGTTAGGTTCATATATTCAACGGTAATAATGAAAACTAATCCACTAGGTTTTTGTTAGAAAATTAACAACCTGAAATGATTTACTCTATTTAAAATACAATTAAGATTACACAATTTAATTACTGTTCATTTTTGTTTTTAAAATTTTAAAATTTTTAAAAATTAAATTCTTATTAGACAACAATATTTTTATTAAAAAATAAAACTTACTCAGGTATATTAGGATAAAGTAACTGATTAAATCCAATTTTTTCATAAAAGTCATAAATGGTTTCTGAACAATAAAGATATAGCTTTTCTCTAACAAAATCGGCAAAATTCATTATATAATTATTATTTATGTATTCTCCATAGTACTTTACTCGTAAATTAAATTCCTTTCTACTGTTTATAATAGTAACATTGTTATTATTAAATGAATCTGTTATTGCAGCTATTTTATTAACGAAATTATTAATTTCAATATAGTCTTTTAAAAGTACTTCTATTTTAATATTTCCGGCATTATTTACATAATTATAAATTTCTGGCGTTTTCATTAAAAACGTATAGTTTTTAACAGTATAAATTTCTTCTACTATCGTTTTTGGATGAATCGAGTTTCTTAGCACTAATTTTACGTCCAAATAGTCAATAAATATAATAGCTTTATATAAATATTCAAACATCAGATTTGAATTTTTTGCTGCATTTAAAAGTCCTACTGTGCAATAAGTCGCATTCTTAAATGAATTTTCTTTAAAAAAAATGTCACAATCATCTGAAATGATTTTTAAGTGTTCGGTAAAATTTTGTAGTTCTTTAGAAAATAAATAGTTGAGTAAATCAACTATAATGTTATATTTAATTAATAATTCATTTTTATTTTCTGTTTTATATTTTAGGGCTTCTTTTATGCTTATAATTTTATCTTTTGATATACTTACTAATACATATTCCAGGTTTATCTTTTTTAATTGATCACTTATGTAATTTGTTACTTCATTAAAATATATTATATACTCTTTTTGTTTTATAAAACAATCAACAGTGCTAATTCCAAGAAAAATATTTATAATGAATAATATCAAAGTTCGGAATCTAAGAGTCATTTTTAAAATTATTTTGAAATAAGTATTTCAATTATTATAAACGTTTAAATTTATATTATGGCCAATTTTTTTTAAAGAATTGATTATATATTTAACAAAAAAAAAAAAAAAACGTACGTAATAGAGGTTATGTATAATTATTTTGTAAAATAATTTTGTTAGCAATTGTTTAATTATTGATTTAGTAATAAATTTAAAATTAAAAATACAGGTTGGAAAATATTGCATAGAAATTTTAATATTTTATTTTCTTAGATCTTATAGAATTAAAATTAATAGAATCGGCAAATTTCGACAATTTTTAACCTTTTTATTCTAAAAATTGTGATAACTTATTGAAAAATAAATGAATCAAAATATTTTTTTTTTGCTTCAATGCGAAGCTGAGAAGGTATTAATTTTATTATGATGTGTTTCTTTTTTGTCTGTATACGCTCTATCTCAGCTCTCGCTGGACCGATTTTGTTGAAAAATATGTCAAAAGATCACAAATCAAATTTAGCTAAAGACATTACCCTCAAAATTTGAAAAAAATTCCTTCGTTCCCCGTAAACGGGGGAAATCCCCCAAAAAATTACAAATTTAAAAATCGCTAATTTTCGAAATTTTTTTAATTTTTTTTACTTATAATTGCCATAACTTTTTTAAAAATGACCAAATCAATATAATTTTATTTTTCTATCTTATATATTTACCTATAATTTTATATATTTTTGTGAACATTTGACTCTTTAACAGCCCACAGGAAGGGTTACAAAATGGTAGCTATTTTACATAAAATTAACTTTTAGCTTCGATGCGAAGCTGAGAAGGTATTAATTTTACCATGATGTGTTTTTTTTTTTTTTTTTTTTTTTTTTTTCTGTCACTACTTTTTCTCAGCTCTCACTGGACCGATTTCTTTTAACAATACGTCAAAAGATCAAAAATTGTATCTAGTTTAAGACATTACCCTTAAAAATTTAAAAATTTTCCCTCGTTCCCCGCAAATGGAGGAAATATCCAAAAAAATTACAAATTTAAAAGTCGACAAATTTTGTCATTTTTTTCATTTTTTTTTCTTAAAACTTCCATAACTTTTTCAAAAATCAACAAATCAACATAATTTTTTTTTAAACTAAAACCTTAGATATTTTCCTTTCATTTGATATAATTTATTTGAAAATTTAACACTTAACCTGCTCATGGGGGGGATTTAAAATAGTAACTTTTTTACAAAAAAAACTTTTTCAACTTAATTTTTGAAAATGGTCCGGAAATACTGCGTCCTTTAAACATATATAAAATTACAGTTTTTTTATGTACTACAAAATAAAAAAAAAATATTTGTCCCGACGACCTATCTTCTATACGCAAATGGCTACCATTTTCAAAAATATGCTATTTTTGTATGAAAATTATGGGTTTTGTATATTATTTTAATAGAAGTTGATGTTGCTTTTGCAATTATCCATCAATTTTTTAAAATTAAACACTATCTACAGATTTGCATCGAAGCGTTTCTTATGATAGTGATTTTAATCACTGTCAGATTAAATCTATACTGGACCCTACTATGCAATGTCTCCACTATGCCGCGACCCCACTGTGCTACCGTTTTTTTTTATGTAAATACTTATCTTTTAATAATAAGTAATAATATTAAAACTTAGAATTAATAGAAAAAGTTTAATTGCACATTTGAAAACATCGCGAAAAGTTTATTTAGAAAAGTATATTTTTTTTTTCTGATGAAAGTTCCTTTTGTTTAGTGTATTTATTCATAAGTAACAAAATTTTTTTATTAAAAAGTATTGCATAAATTCCTTTAAATTTGTATACGCATTAAAAGTATATGAATATACAACTCCTTTTTATTTTTATAATATCTCCGTAAAAATTACAATATTATATTATTGAATACCACTTTCATACTCAATTTAATTACTGTAATTATTATGTATTCATATATTATAATTATAAATCGGGGTAAAATTAAGGGAATAAGTGTTATTGTTGTTTTTGAAATAATCTACCAATTTCATTTTTTTCTATTTAATAATATTTATTTCAAACTTGCAAGTTGAGTTAAAAGTTATGGTAATAAATTCATTTTTTTTTTATTAAAACTTTCACTTTAAAGAACAAAAAGAAGTAGGTTCAAAATGATTACTTTTAACATATTAAAAATCAATAATAATTTGAAAATAATTAATTATAAAAATTATATAATATATAATTAAACTAATTACTAATCTGGATATAATTAAGGAAATAGGAGTTGATGTTGGGTTGGGTTGGTTACATTTTTAACTTTATAATGCTATAACTCATTGAAAAGTCTATGAATCAACACAATTTTTTTATGAGAAATAATATTTTTTAATAATCCCTTTTTCATTCGACATACTTTATCTTAATCAGGGTATTAATAAGAAACTAGCAGATAATGTAGCTTTTGTAATTNGAACTAGCAGATCATGCAGCTTTTATAATTATCCACCAATTTCTTAGAATTAAACACTATCTACTGATTTGCATCGAAGCGTTTCTTATGATAGTGATTTTAATCACTGTCAGATTAAATCTATACTGGACCCAACTATGCAACGTCCCCACTATGCCGCGACTCCACTGTGCTGGGTTGTTTTTTAACTTAACTTTTGAAAATGTTCCGGAAATACTGACACTTTTATATATACCTTAAATTAAAGATTATGTAATATACTTTAATTTGAAAAAAAAAAATTTGACCTCTGGACTTGTCTTCATGGTGAAAATGACTACCGTNAACTTGTCTTCATGGTGTAAATTACTACCGTTGCAAAAATATGCTATTTTTGGGAAAAAATTCTTGATATTATATTTTACATTTTTTAACATTATGTTGCTATAACTTTTTAAAAAATGCATGAATCAACTTTATTCTTTAATGATAAATNCATGCATGAATCTTTATTCTTTAATGATAAATACTTTTTATATATAATTCTTTCATTCGACATACTATTTTTTTAAATCGGACCATATCCCTTTATACAAGGGAGGTGCAAACCTTTTAAAATGCGTATAGAGAGT